AGGGGGGGAGGGGTGGGGGCAGAGCTTTCCCAGAGCGTGTGGCTCCGGGAAGATGGAGGACGGGGCTGGGTGGGGGGCTCGCCTCGGCCGCAAGGGACGGGGGTGAGATCTTTCCTGGAGCGCGTGGCTCCGGGAAGATGGAGAATGGGGGGGGGGGACTTGCCTGGGCTGCACGCAGTGGCCCAAGCAAGGCAGGAAGGAAAGGGGGGAGATCTTTCCTGGAGCGCGCAGCTCCAGGAAGATGGAGGACGGGGCTGGGGGGGGCTTGCCTGGGCTGCACGCAGCGGCCCCAGGCAGGTAGGAAGGGACGGAGGGGAGAGATCTTTCCCGGAGCACGTGGCTCCAGGAAGATTTAGGACGGGGTGGGGAGGAAGCTAATTTACCCTCCTGCTTTTGCCTCCTTCTGCAACGGAATGAGGCTGGAAGCAGGGGGCAGGGCTTCGCCATGTGCCCGCCCCCCCCCCCGCGCCTCACTCCCGGAGCGCCGTACCGGGGCGCTCCGGCCCCATCCAAGGCCTGGTCTTATCCATCCAAAAGTAAAGAATGTGTGCATTCTTTGAGCAAAAGAATTAGATTATGTCAAGTATATAAAGTTCTGTAGCAACCTGATTAGCCCAGGTAAGTCTCAGTGTATCAGCATTTGGAAGCTAAGCAGGGTGAGCCACTGTTAATACTTGGATGAGAGACCACCAAGGAATTCCAGAGTTTCTATACAATGGCAAGCCACTCTGCTCACTGCTTGCCTTGAACCCATGAGGGATTGCCATAAGTCATTTGTGACTTGACAGGACTTAATTATTAATTATATCAATTTCAGCAGTCCCAGCAGAGAAGATCTAGTGGACTGCACTTCACAAATGTATATAACAAATAAAACAAAAGGAGGTGAAATGCTGAAGGTGCAAATGAAAGAGCTGACCCCACCCCTCCCCAAGGGGGGTGTGAGAGAGAGAGAGAGGAGAGGAGGAGGAGATTGGATTTATAGCCCGCCCTTCACTCAGAGTCTCAGAGCGGCTTACAAACTCCTTTCCCTTCCCCTCCCCACAGCAGACACCCTGTGAGGTAGATGGGGCTGAGAGAGCTCTGAGAGAACAGCTCTGAGAGAACTATGGCTTGCCCAAGGTCATCCATCAGCTGCAAGTGGAGGAATGGGGAATCAAACCTGGTTCTCCCAGATTAGAGTCTGTGCACTTAACCACTACGCCAAACTGGCATAATGTACATATCCCACAGGTAAAATGAACAATATCCAGAGTTGCCTCCCTCAAAATTTTATAGGTTGACAGTAAGGCCTCCAATTGTATTTCTAGGGCCTCCTATCAGTCACTCACTGAAGGGCTGCAGCTTAAATAGAAGGCTGTTGCTGTCTCCCCTCACTATCTCTGCTTGCAGCTGTCTCTCTGTGTGGTTCTTTATCGCAGACCCAGATTCTTTCCACGAGTTCCCTCTCAGAAAATTTCTCCCCCGGCCCCCCAACTCTTCTCCACAGTCAGCATGGATCTCCCAAAGAGTTATGTGTATGGGGTTAAAAATGTCTCACTTCATAGGTCTCTAAATATTATGCCTGTTCTGTTAGTCTGCACAACCACATAGACAGTAATCTTGGGTATGAATGTCATGTCTGTCATCTTGATGATTCAGAGCTGGATAGGTCTGGTGATGGTAGCTGAACACATATACATGATCAACGTGAATGTGGGAGTGAACCTTAAGACCCCTGCTCTCTGGTTCATTTCTGGCTACAACTTTTGATCTGAAATGATTTCTGCTAAAAGTAGACTTTGTCCTCTTTTTACAATAATGACTGTGTACCATATGTTCTGTACAGAAGATAAGTGAGTAAGGTACATTTTGACACTACCCCTCAGCACTGAACAAAGCCAGAACACTGTATGCCAATTTAGTAGAACAATGGTTAAATGAAACCTCATTGCCTAGTTGAAGACGTGTGCGTCTTGTTCTTCTTTGCATGCTGACTTGAATTATATCAACTGCAACACAGCTGTAACAGGCAAGCAAGGCTAAACCTCCCCCCACAGAGGTGGTGTGATATAATTAGAATGTGTTTTCTGTGCTTTTACTCATCCTCACATCCCACTCACTATCAGGCTAACAACTCTTTTTTTCATCCCTTGTGTGTTAAGCAGAAATGTCTGCCAAATGGGTTTCTTAGCTATTTTTCTGCAAGTGAGCAATTTTAACTTCTTAAAAAATGAAAAGTGATTTCCTTGGAAGGCAGATTCTGTGCCTGACTCCTACACCACTATATCCAAAGAGTAGACACAGGACTTACTCCACAGTGTTTCCTATTCAGGTTTTTTATTCGAATGTTTGTATATTATAAATTGACAAGTGTTGGGGGAGGGGCTGTAGAAAGGCATATGACAAATTCAGCAAACTGTTTGTTTATTGTTACAGCTTGTCATTGTAAATACCCTCTCCATGAATAAGGAACACTTTCTCTTCCTGGAACTAAGAGATCTCATTTGTACAGTATACTAATTTTAATTGTAGGATGAATGGGGAGAATCCAAGGACCAACTTTTCCTGCTCTCCCCCATTGCATATGATGGAATTCTATTGGAAAAACTGCGCATGAAGCATATATGTACCAATCAGTTCCATGGCTACCCCTCTTTCAGTAAGCTGCTAGAATCTTAGCTGGTATGTTAGACCGTACCTTTCCTCTTCACCTGAAGAACTGATTCTTTACTCACAATCAGTACTGGAGATTGAAGTTTTGTCACCTCTGTAAGGATATTTTAAGAATGGAAATAATCTCTTCATTTTGCCATACATTGCGGGGAGGGTGGGCTATAAATTGAAATTATAAATAAATAAATAAACCAGAGAACGAAGGAGTTGATTCTACAAAGTGTGACATCGCTGTAACAGCAAACGTTCTGCACCAGGAAACAACCCCTATAATTTGTGTGTTTTAAAATGTACAGCTAAGTCTTGTAACGTATATGTACAGCAGAGCATTTAATCTATAAACAAGTAATATGCATTATTTTGAATATACACTCACTAGGTTGGAATTCTAATAGATTATTTCCATGTGATGCCACATCATGGAGGTGAAAAAGTATGAAAATAAGAATCTCTTTTATACCTGGGTGTTGGGAGTATTGATCTTAACTATATTTACAAAGGATCCCACCGAAGAGCAGTATTTCCATTTCTTAGCGCAAAGACTGTTGGCATATTTAAGATATTGGAGGGTTTTTAAAATGTTATTTAGTCATCAGCAGGTTGGATCCAACCTGTTTCCATGGTTGGAAGGATTTCTGCCCACAGAGCATGATTCCCCCCCTCCCCAGCCCCCGCTGCTGCAGTCCAGGAGCAGCATTTTAAGGGCAATTTTTCAGCTGTATTGTGAGGGGTGAAGTGAGAAAGGTGTGTTCTGTAGGTGGAGTCCATGGAAACATTTCCTTTGATCTTTGATTGAACATACTATAGACATTGAGACTCTTTGTTTCAGTAAAGACGATGTGGAGAAATGTAAACAAAAGGATCTGCTGGAGCAAATGATGGCAGAAATGATTGGGGAGTTTCCTGATCTTCATCGAACAATTGTCTCAGAAAGAGACATTTACTTGACTTACATGTTGAAGCAAGCAGCCAGGCGAACAGAACTACCTCGTGCTTCTGAAGGTATGTAAGCATGTACAAATGAGATATATGTTTTTCAGTGATGGCACTGTAAACCATGCTGCCTTGAAGGAAACTTAAACTAGTCTGTGCAAGTAACTGAAACTATTTTGACAATACTTTCTACTGAAATCTGATCTCGGCTGCTTTGTCCAGGAGACAGCTTCAGCAGATCAACAAGAGTGATTCAGTGTTTCAAGGGTAATCCCTTAGCTAGTGATATTGGACTAGGTCCAGAGGTCAGTGGGGACTTTAGTGGAGCCAGCATGGTGTAGTGGTTAAGAGCAGTGGAGTACAATCTGGAGATCTGAGTTTGGTTTCCCCATTCCTACACATGAAGCCTGCCACCTTGGGCCAGTCACAGTTCTCTCAGAACTCTCTCAGCCCCACCTAACTTCACAACGTACCTGTTGTGGGGAGAGGAAGGCGATTGTAACCTGCTTTAAAACTCCTTAGGGTAGAGAAAAACAGGGTATAAACTCTTCTTCTTCTCTTCCTTATCAGTCCAATCATATTAAAATTAATTATCAGAAATCGATAATTTTTGCAAAGTTTTTGCAAAAAATCCCAAACTATATCAATGCGAATCAACTCAGAAGATATTGAGCAGGTCCGCTGTTTTAAATATTTAGGGATAGTTTTCCAGTCCTCGGGTTCCAGAAAGGTACACATGGATTATGTTACTTCATGTGCGACAAAAAGTGCAGGTGCAATTGAGAAATTCTACTGGAACTCAGGGGGATGGAATATAGCTATGGCAGGATCTTTAAGGCCAAACCTCTTGCCCAATTACTGTATGGGGCTCCTTTGAGCATATCTTCATATCAAATTTACTGGCATGCATTCAAAAAAGTTTAATCTAAGTGTTTACAGCATATCCTACAGGTCCCGTCGGGTTTCAAATGCACTCATTCGGGTAGAAATTGGCATGGTTACCCTAAAGACTCGATTATGGATTGCTGCTATCCTATATTGGTTCAAATTAGTGTCCAAGCCCACTGGTTTAACAAGCTTGATACTGAGAGACTTGGATCAAAGAAGTTGAGTAAATTAATGGACTCTGTACGGCTTCAGATGGCTCTGCAGGATCCGATGCCCCCTGGCGGTTCATTAGATGAGCTTGTGGGGGACTGGTATGACTGGCTTTCCACAGCCATCAATGAAATTGCTCCCCGGTGCCCTCTGCGCCCTCGCACTAGGCTGGCCCCCTGGTATACCCAGGGGTTGCAGCTTATGAAGCAGGAACTAAGACGGCTAGAGAGACGGTGGCGGTGTGCCCACGACGAAGCATCAAGAACATCCTATAGGATGTTTATGAGATCCTATGAGATGGCAGTCAAAGCTGCTAAGAGAGAATTCTATGCAGCCACAATTGCGTCTAGGACTTTAATAAAGTTTAGGTAAAGTAAGATATATATGCCTGATTTGAGTAGAGGCGGTTTGCATCTTCTGAAATTTTGCTTTATGTAACCAGTTATTATTCTGTATTGTAAAAAGCTTCTAATAAAAATATGGGGGGGGGAAGCAAAGTGCTTCGCCAGTTTTTCCATCAGCACACATTGCTTGAGACATGTACAGTTCTATACATATGGCATCCAATCACAGCACTGCTGACTCATCCTGATAAGACATCAGCTCTGTACAAGTTACAACCGGTTTGGTCTGGTTCCTTTGACTGTCACTCACTCTGACACCTGTCATCTAGATTGGATCCATCTATTTACATTGTTACACATGCTGGATACTTATATTCCAACAATGGGTACCCATTGAAATAATAAGTGAAACGCTTGAATGTGAAATACTGCCAAAAACGTTTGCAGACCATAATCCCGTTCTTCTTACGTTAAAAGAAAGATATAAGAAAGGTAGAAACACCATAAATATAAAACTACTCAGAGACAAAAAATTTGTTCAAAAATGTAAAAAAGAAATAGCGGAGTTTTTCAAAGTAAATAAGGATACAGACTCCCCAAAGGAAATAATATGGGACGCATTCAAGGCCTATATAAGAGGGTGTTTTATTAGTCAAAATGCTTGGAAAAACAAGCAGAAGAAGATAGAATATGATTGTTGGATCCCCAGGCATTCAAAACAAATCCACGTTTAAAAGTAAAGTAAGGTTTATTTCAAAGCGATGGATAGATCAGGAACAAGAGCATTGTTAGGAATAACTACAACCCCACCTGGGTGGCATATTAAAGGAACTTTGAACATGGTTTGGGTCAATGAGCCCTTTTCCCGCTGGCGGGCATAGAGTAGAAACTTAGCTCCCAATACCCTGGGAAGGCAACGGTTCTACAGTATAAACACACATTCAGTTCTCAAGCGAACTACCCATAACAAGCAAAGCGATTCCACGACTCCCACCTCCAGCTGTTCGACTTTGGCCAGTTTCTGCAAAGCTACAATTGCAGTCTAGTGAAGCAGGAGGAAACCTGGGGGGGGGGGGGAAGGGAGCCAGCATCGGAGGTTAGGAGTTTGGGAGTGCTCCTGGATCCCTCCCTAACTATGGAGGCCCAGGTGGCAGCCACTGCCAGATCTGCATTTTACCATCTTAGGCAGATTCGGCAGTTGTTTCCCTCCCTCGACCGCGATGACCTGGCTACAGTGACCCATGTGACGGTCACCTCAAGGTTAGACTACTGTAACGCTCTCTACATGGGGCTGCCTTTGTTGCAGATCTGGAAGCTGCAGCTAGTGCAGAATGCGGTGGCCAGGCTGTTGATGGGTCTCCCCAAGTGGGAGCACATCCGGCCTGGGTTGAAAGCACTGCACTGGCTGCCAATAGCATACTGAATCCGCTTCAAAGTGCTGGTAAGGTAAAGTAAAGGTTCCCTTGCTCGAAAGCCTGTCGAATCCGACTCTAGGGTTGCGGTGCTCATCTCCGTTTCAAAGCCAAAGAGCCAGCGCTGTCCAAAGACGTTTCCGTGGTCATGTGGCCGGCATGACTAAACACCAAGGCGCACGGAACGCTGTTACCTTCCCACCGAAGTGGTCCCTATTTATCTACTTGCAATTTCTTGCTTTCGAACCGCTAGGTTGGCAGGAGCTGGAACTAGAGACAGGAGCTCACCCTGTCTTGCGGCACCCGGGTCTTGAACCGTTGAACTACTGACCTTCCACAGCCTGCAGTTCAGCGTCTTAACCACTTGAGCCACCGCAGCAGCAGTGCTGGTACTCACCTTTAAAGCCCTACATGGCCAGGGTCGACTTACCTGAGGGACCGCCTTTCCCCACATATACCCCCAAGAGCACTTCAGTCGGAGACCCAACACTGCCTGGTGATTCCAGGCCCCCGGGAGGTAAAGGTTGCTGCGACCAGGGCTAGATCCTTCGCAGTGGCAGCCCCTACCTGGTGGAACGAGGTCCCGGAGGAGATCAGGGCCCTGCAGGACCTTATGCAGTTCTGCAGGGCCTGCAAGACGGAGCTCTTCCGCCAGGCTTTCGCATAGGGGCCGCCGCCACCACCAATGGTGGCGATAACATCGGGACTAGGAACCACCCTTGGAAGTTCCGCCATGAATTGTATGGCACTGACACTGTGGCATTGGCTTGAACTATCTACTGGACAGTATCACCCCAAGGGGAGGATTTAAGGAAATGACTGATGCCATCAAAACCACTCAAAGACCATCTTGTTTACAGAAAGCACTTTATTATTGTTATTGTTATTATTCATTATTTTATTGTTTTATCTGGTTTTATGCATGGGCTCATGCCCCTTGTAAGCCGCCCTGAGCCTGTTCGCGGGGAGGGCGGGGTAAAAATGCTTAAATATAAATAAAATAAATTGGGTTATTATGGGCTCTCTAAACAGTTTATGATGCAGCTGGAATATAGTTCTGTTAAACCTTTTCTTCAACAAAGAATCCTAGATATTGAAAGACAGCACGATCTGTTCCAGATTAACTGCTATCTTCCAGGCATAGGGAACTTGAACCAAATATCACTGATCCCATACCTACAGAATTTAGATAAAGCTGAGTATAGAAGAGCTTTTACTCTTATGAAAGCAAATATACTTCCTTCAGCGGTTACAGAGGGTAAATACAAAAGGCGTCCTTATGAAGAATGTTTGTGCATCTGCAGGGATGGAAGTATTGAGTCGAGGGAACATGTTCTTTTTGAATGTGAACTTTACCAGAACTTGCGTTCTGTTTATTTAGCGCCAGTCTGTCTCCAGTTCCCGGGGAGAAATTTTGAGATTTTACTTAAGGATCTAGCTGACAGGAATCAAGAAATTACTTTAATGGTGGCAACGTTTGCTGTGAAGGCCATAAGATATCAACAACAATTTTTAGATAGAAATGACTAGTTGAATTTTATGTTTAACATTTTATAAGGGGTGTTTGGCTGAATTGTATTCCCTGTCTGTTTTATGGCTTTGGTGGTGATTTGATGGTGGTGACTATATTAAACATTTGATATTGATATCAACTGCTATATCTGAATCCAACTCCTCCAGGGACACACAGCTTTGATTGCACATCTCTGAAATAGGACATCTGTTTCTCAGGGCTATTTTAGGGTATATTCTATGAGAACTGTAGAAAACACTGTGCATTATAAGTTCTGTAATATGTATGTTAATCGGAGGTCACAAATTTTAGATATTTTCCAAAGGTGAACATACAAGGACTCATGGGGGGAGGGAAATCTGATTCTACCTTCCCAGCTCTGCTTCCTTTCCCCTTTGCCACCATCTTGTCTTCCTTCTGATGGTGATGTAGAGCACTGTTGCAGTGTCAGGCACCGTTCTGTTGCTACTACCTCACATTGCCTTAGACAAATGGAATGCAGATTCACAGAACTAAGTGTCATTTCTGCAGATTCCTACTGCCACTCCCCATTCTCACACTGCATCGCATCATATGTCATTCCTAAGGGTCCCCTGACCCTCAACAGCCTGGGTGGGAGGTCTACGGAAACTGCAGTGGGAGGCAGAAAATATTCCTTCTACACACTCTGTTCCATTCACCATTGGCTGGATGTAAGCCATGAGCATTTTATATGCTAGCAAGAGTGTAATGAATGGGGTCCTTTTTTGTTTCTCCCTCGGCTTTAGCTGAACCTAGAAGATGTGTCCCATCTGTTGTAGTTGGAGTAGTTGGCATGGGTCACGTGCCTGGGATTGAAAAGAACTGGAATACCCACTTGAACATCCAGGAAATAATGAGGTAATTCTCTCTCCGGTAGGTTGTGTCATTTTATTTGTTAGTTACCATTTTTGTAGTTAGTACGGGGAGGGGCAGGAGAGGGAAAAGCCAGTGAATAGGTATACTAATACACTACTACTTACATTAAACATGAAGCGGGGTTAATTTCCAAAATGATTTGACTGATGCAAGAAAATGACCTTTATTGAACAGGAGTTTTGTTGTTTTAAATGAGGCTTTGAGGGAGTCATGCTGATTCCCAGGCAGAACAAATTACTGCAAACAAAGACTAGGGAATGGCACATTATTGGCTACTGGTTTATTTGGTCAGCATTGATGTTTGGCGTTTAAAATGACTATTTCCTTTCACCTGATGCAAATAAACATTCGGGATTTGCACTCTGAAATGTACTGGAGAAAAAAGAGTGGAGGTGGGATGGGCACGAGGGAGCCCCTGGACTCTGATTTAATTAAAACTTGTAGAAAAACTCATTGAGGTGATTGTATTATAATGTATGTGAACTGTAGTAATAGTGTCATAAATAAATACCGTGAAAGAAACCGGTACATTTCAGTGCTAATTTATATGAGGTAAAGGATTGTGGTCAATTCGCCGTGAAGTGCACCTGGACTTCTGTGTGTGGAGGGGGACTGGGATTCCACTCCCTCCATAAGGCTCAGCCTCCACCCCCCTGCCAGTGTCTTCAGTGGTCTCATATCATAGACACACTGTTCTTCCTCCTCAGTGGCTCCCTTTGGGCACAGCCTGGAGTAGGTATCTTGGAGATTATTCTCCCCCACCCCCCTCCAGGTCCTCTGGAAGACAGCACTACAACTGGCACATGCTCAAGCGTTTCCCCTCTGCCTTGCAAGAGAGCTCTGCTTGAGTGGGCGGACAGGAGTTGATCCAGCTGTTGCTGCAGCTCAGTCCTGCCTCCACTTCATGCTGAGTTGCCTCAAGAAAGTGCCCAACAGCTGTTGGTTTTAGTGGCTCTTTAAATTGGGAGCTCCGGAGCAGCTGCCAACCCTGGACATTATTCTGGCTTCCTGTTTCCTGTTCTGTGGAGGCTTGTGTAAACCACAAGGCCTGCTTGTAATACAAGTAGGATTTCAAAATTGGAATTCACATTACAGCATAAACTAATGGTGTGGGATTCTAGTAAATAGTATGCCCATTCAGGTCTTCCTCATCCATACATTATAATTGAAAGTGATTACCAGAGTTGATGGTAAATTGGTTTGAGCGAAATATTGTACAGTGTTGTCCAACAGGTCACTGGACAGAATGGGGCAAAATGACCATAGCTTTGAGGTTACTTCATGAAGCTTTTCAACAGCACCAGTATTAATGGAACAATATATTGGTCGATAGATTAGAAGTGCTGTATTTAACACCCACATTACAAAGCTATTTTTTGTCATTACTGTGGTTTTTAATGTAAGTTATGGATATTATTTCTTCCAGTCTAGCTGGATGATAGGTCAATAATTTTTCCCCCTCATTTTCCCAGTGTGCCTCCTCCCTCAACTGCAAGTAAGATCCTCAAGTTCGTCATAAAGACTACAGTATTTGGACTGGTGGGCTATGGCTGCTACAGGATAGGACAAAGGACAGTGCAATTTATTCTCTCCATGCCTGTTGCACAGAGCTATCTTCAGAAACTGGCAGACATAAACCCCCGGCAGTGAACCAGAAGACTCTCTATAAGACATTGGGGCAAAGAACAGCATGCGTAAAAGTAGGCTGAAAGACAACAGTGAAGGGTTTCTGTCCCAGTGTCTCATCTGATACCGAGTTACAGTGTAACCAAACAGACTGATGTTAAATGCTAAATACAACACAAGCTGTGTGACCTAAATGAAAAAGCAGTCACCCACCACCGTGATAAAATTCGTGGCATAAAAGAAGTAGAGGCCACTGTAAGGTACCTGATATGTGTAAATGACATATTTATAAATATGATTACAGTACACAGGTAATATCGAGTCTAATATTGTTAGACACAATTCACTGGGAACTTCCCGTACGCAAGTGCCATTGAAATGAAAAAGACCTATGCAAGAATGCAGCAGTCCATTTCAGTGAGCTTGCTGGTGGATTGTGACCTTTGTTCTCTCCCGTCCCCTGCCCCCCAGGAACAGAATAATATGGTTAGTTGTGTTCCTGTTGGAAAGCACGGGGGCCCCATAAGGTATGTGTGTTTTCAATATAAATCATATCAAACTATCCTTCTTGGTGCTAAGCACCTATATAGCTACTTGGAAAGATTTCGTCTTACAGGAAGACTTTTATACTTCATGGGATTTTTTTTTTAAAAAACAAACAAACAGAATACAGAAGGTTTTGAAAAAAATCAGACTTTTTGTTGATAAACCTCCAAATACCATTAGGAGCCTTACAGAATAAAAAGGGAGGCAATTGGCATCATCCAACTACTTTAAAATCCCATCCATGTCAATAGGGGGCTTATATGTGTGTTTGACTGCTTCCACACAGAGGTTTTGCTCCCAGTTTGGCATTCAAATTAGGGTGGTGTTTTGGGGAGAGGGTTTTTGGATTCCCCATATAATATCATCCCATCATCATCTACTTCCCATGTTTTCCCTTTTTGCAGTGCTCTTTCCCAAACCTGCTTTGGGACAATCTTTTTGGAAAGGTTGCCATCAAGCACATTGGTATGCTGTGCAGATGGGAAGGTTGTGTTTTTATAGGACCTGCCCACATCTGCACCATTTTTCTTGCCTCAGCCACCATTTTCCCCACTAACAGAGAGCTTTTTCAGGCTGTTTGTATAATCAGCAGTTGACATTTTTGTTTCAATCATTGCTGTATTACTATAATGTACTAACTATCTGCTAGTTCTTCTGAATTCCCAGCTTTGATCTAAATTGTTAAAAAACTAAATCTCTAGCTCTTTCCATTGCAGAGATATGCCATCTCCCAATGAAACGGGCTAGAGGCTTTTTTTTCTTAAATGAGATCTGTGTATTTAGAAGAACTAGTAAATCGTTGTAATGCTAAAACTATATTTCAGTTGCTGATTTTTAAAGGAAGCTGGAGGAAGAGCAGCTGAAGGGGCCCTAGGCAAGGCCAAGTGCAGGGCTAAACTGCTTCGTAGCTGCCATGGAGAAGCAGCTCAAAACTGCAACCCAGCTGGTTTTAAGGTGCTTAACTTTGGTAGGATTGTGCTTTTTGATCTTAGGCCTCCGGGCTAATATTTTCCTTTCCCTTTCAAGAAAGATGTTCCACTGCAGACTTTATTTTTTAATTGCAGTTGGGTGATTCCTGATGCTTACAGAACACACAGTTCTCTGGATTGGATCATTTTATTCCTGTTATTAAACCAAATCCTATTTGGCATATAATTGCAAAAATTTTGAGAGTAGATCTCTGATACTATTGCTTTCTTACATCCCTTCCTTGAAAAAAAAAAGAATCTGGAAATTATCTCTGTAGTATTTACCCTTCATTTTTCTGGATGCCATGTAAATTCCAGCAGAATGTAATAAAAGACTGGTTTAAAAAAATCAGTGGAATATTACTTTAACTGTTTAACAAATAATCCAGAATCAGTGTTTTTTAAAAACTGCCTGGGTTTTGTTTCTGTAGAATTATGGAGTCTTTCAACTTTTATATCTACAATTTTTAAGTCCCTTTATTTGACAGGTTTTGTTGATGTTTAAACGCCCTTAAATTGCCTTTGACTGCATGCTATGTCTTGCCATTCCAAGAGAATAATTTTATAATTGTTGTAATCACTAATCCGTCCTCTGAAAAGCTATTATGGAGGGTTTTTCAGTTAACTGCTCCTCAACTACTGAGAAGACTATTTTGGAGCTGAGTCCTCTTTTCCCCTTCTATTGGGAAGGCAGGAGTAGGGAATGGAGAGGGGAAAGAGAAAGCCAGTATTGGTGAAATTCACGGCTTGAGTACACATTCAGAAAATCCAAATGTAAACCCACATTTCCAAAGTCATCTCATGAGGAATTAATACTGTTGCAGTCTAAAAACATGTGTCTGGGTGCAATTCAGGGTGCAGTAGGTAAGTACATTGAAGTCCAATTAAAATCAAGCCCACCTAAGATAAATTTATAATAAATTGTGTTGAGGTTTTGCTTTGACTTTAAAGTACAGACTTGATTTCTTACTGACCATGCTGCAGCCACAGTGCTTTAGGGAGTTCTCTATAGCCTTTGATCATGTGAATGGGGTATATGATGGATTCCAGGTACTTTCTTTTCGAATAAAGGGAAACAGGGACACCTACAGTGCCCAAAGGACTTACTGCATCAGTGCAAAATACTATTCCACTATTCATATAGCACAGCTAAATCTTTCAAAAAAAATGCTGGCACAATCAGACCTGATTTGTGAAACTTATTTTTTCCGGAATTGTATCACTCAAGTCACATGGAATTGTCTAGAGTTATGTGGCTTGTAAATGACAACTGGAGTATCTGTATCACCTATTGGGGGTATTATCCTTACCCCCAGCAAACCCCCTCGGTTAAGTATGGACGCAAAACTGAACACGGCCTTTTAAAGTAATACAAGAAACTCTGACAAAAGGGTAAACTACACATTTACAAATCAAGAGAAGATCTAAAGAAGTAAAGATTAATGTGGTTTTACTGACAATTATTTTGAAGGGGGAAAGTGACCTGGACAAGTACTATGTTAAAGCAATGTTTCACCAGCTGAAGGAAGGAAACTTTTGGAGGTTTTCATAAAAATGTTCATGGAGAAACAGCATTTCTTTTTTTAAAAAAATTATATGGGGGGGGATCTAAGATAATTGGGTGGAAGGCCCATCAGACAATGTTGAGTCTTACCAAGATATGTTAAAAACTTGCTAGATCTTTCGCGGGCTTCCCACCCATATCCTCTAGACTAAATATTTACTCTGAAATATTCATTCTCAGGTAAAATTTTGCAGACTATGAAAAATAATGTACATTGCAGACATGTGAGCCTTAAGCTTGAATGGACTCCTGTTAAAACAAGAGACTTGAGGCACAGTTTGCTTTTTATGTATTTAAACATGCCAAAAAGAAAAGAAAATAATAAAATGACTACCTGGAAGCTGGCATTTCATCTTTATCCATAAGGGGTGTGTATGTGTGTTTTTTCAGATGTTTCTGGTATAAAGATGTATTGAAAGAACTTTTGGCAATTACAAAAAATACACAGAAGCATGTGGCACTAGAACAAAGCAGCTGCCTGTGCTGTGTGGATATTTGGGAGCAATGTTCACATAGTTTTTTAGAAAAATCTATCAAATGGAGTTTGAGCAAATATTATTAATGAGAGGGGATTTTTTTTCTTCCAAAAGAGAGCAGAATCCATGCATAATCAAGGAGAGAATCATTGATCCATCTTGTTTTCACCATGCTGTAGACTAGGAGTGGGCAGTCTCTGCCATGAGTGCAAACAATAGTACACCAGACCATTTTGCTTGGTGTGCTGGGCAGTGTGGTGTAGTGGTTAAGAGCAGCAAACTCTAATCTGGAGAACCGGGTGACCTTGGGTCAGTCACAGGTCTCTCAGAGCTTTCTCAGCCCCGCCTACCTCACAGGGTGTCTGTTGTGGGGAGAGGAAGGGAAGGCAATTGTAAGCCGCTCTGCGACTCCTTCAGGTAGTAGAAAAGCAGGGAATTAAAACCAACTCTTCTTCTCTACCCAAGCAACCATGGCACTGGCAGCACAGCAGTAGTGAGGGCCATGGAGAAGGCTATGGCATGGCTGATGCCTGTCATCCTTTTGTGGAATTTGGGAGCTGCCACCACTGTGCATCCATCTGACTTGCTGCTCAGGTGTAGATAAAAACAGGTAGAGAAGGGGAGGCAGAGATACTACTCTATACAGACAAATTTCTGAGGGTGGAAACTGCTACATCAAAAGCCACAAAAAACTTGCAACATGTTAGTTTGCTTGCAATTTCCGAAGAGGCATAGGTCTATGATAAGATGGGGTCAAGATACTGATTTTTTTAAGGTAGGTGCACTTCAAACTGTGTGTACTATTGCAAAAGACTTTGCTGATGATCCGGTGCCTGTCAAGGTAAGAATGCTCTTAAATGGGTGTTACACTTGTGAAAATAGTGGGGTTTTTTCCCCTCTGCGCATTAGACAAATCTTGCAAGGGGTTGTTTTGGACATGATAGCGAATGGAGGCAATTGGAAACATTTTGTACCTAATGAATCCACTCAGAAACAGAAGGGAGCGAGGAAGGCCTGTCATTTGGCCAGCAGCTGCTGCATCAGATCTGTCTTACTTTGCACCTCTGCTACAGGTGTGTAAAACAGGGCTGTGCCCAGAGCAGAAGGGCTTTCACTCTCCAGCTGCTTTGGGTCCCTACCGGAGAGAAAATTGGGATGTAAATAAAGTAGGGGGAGAGATTAACTGGTGCTAGCCTAGAAACTGATGGAATTTTTAAGGCAAGGAGTGCTGAATTCTCTTTTGTTAAAAGCTGTTTGGGGCTTGTAGAATGCTGTTTTCACCTAAGGCTGCCAGCCATTTGCTGAAACTGAAAGACGTTTGTACGGACCAGTACTATTTCACACAGAACAGTGCAATATATGACTTTTGACACAGAAGACTGTTCAATGCTTTGTCATCTGAACATTTAAATCCTGCATGGGTTACTTCAGACACTGATGCATACCCTGCTTGTTATTTACCATGTGTAAAAGTGCTGCCTTAATGTTATGCAACCATGAATACTTATTTAGAAGATTCACACCAATTTCAGTGGGAGTGCTACACTAGTAACGATGTTCACTTGTACAACTTTTGTTTCAGTGTGCATGCACAGGAAAGCTCATACATTTAATAAACCTTTGTTGGTCTTACAGGTGCCACTGGACTCTAAATTTGTTCACCTTTTGTTTCAGAGAAATTCAGTAGCAACTTAGAGATATAAGCTTTAGGGAGTCCAAACTCACTTCATCTGTTTTTGACTCTCAAAAGCTTATACGTTGAAAATCTTGCTAGTTTCTAAGGCCCTACGGGACTCGCTTACTGTTCTACTGCAGTAGAACAAATTTAGAGTCCAGTAGCACCTTTAAAACCAACAAAGGTTTATTCAACATATGAGCTTTTGTGCTCATCCTCTCTCTCTCTCTCTCTCTCTCTCTTTTTCTCTCTCTCTCTCTATATATATATAATCTCCTTATATATAATTGACAGCCCCCTTCTCCGCTGTGAGGCCTCTCTCTGGCGGCCGCAGTGGGCTTCCTTCTGCCAGCCAAGCTGTGGGCCCTGCGTTGGGCACTGGCTGGGCTCAGGGAGGGGGGAGGCAGCCGCGCTGCACTTCCCTCACCCGACGCGGCCTCTGCCGCCCAGGCTGTGGGCCCTGTGTTGGGAGGGCTCTGCCAGCCGTGGCTGGGCTCGGGGAGGGGGGAGCTGGCCGCATCACGCTTCCCTCACCCGCTGTGCCCCGGCCCTCCTTCGGGGGGGGGGCAAGCCCTGCCGCCTTGGCCTGCGGTGGTGACTCTCCCTAGGGACCGTTGCCTCTTCCCACAACGAACCTTGCCCTTTGTGTGTGTGTGTGTGTGTGTGTATTTTGCCCTACATATTGGCCATTTCCAGCTCTGCCATTGGCTGTGCTGTGCACTCCATCAGCTATTGGCCCATCAACCGCCACTCAAGAGTACTCACGTGCTTCTCTCCCCCACCCACTGCCAGCCTGGACACTCTTCCCTGACAGAATAAAATGCCAAAACGGCTCTCTCCTGACAAAGACACTTCTGCTTGTTTCCTGTGGGACTAACTTTTCTCTCAGTGGCTGTTGCTAGGCAACCAAGCTTGGTTCTGTCAGTAAAAAGGCAAAGGCAGGAGGCCCTTTTCCAGGTCTTTGTGGGGAACTCATTGGAGCCAGTCATGACTAGGGTTACCACCAGCTTGTTTGGGAAATTCTGGGATATTTTCTGGTGGAGTCTACAGAAGCCAGAGTTTGGGGGAGGGGAGAGGCCACAGCTGAATGGAATGCCATAGAGTCCACCCTCCAAAGCAGTTATTTTCTCCAGAGGGAGAGAGAGAGCTGTTGTCTGGAGTTCAGTTGTGATACCCGGAGATCTTCAGGCTCCACCTGGAGGTTGGCTACCCTGGGTGTAGCAGTTAGCGCTTCAGAGCAGTGTTTGCTAGACCCAGGTTCTTGCTGTGGAAGTTGAGTGGGTGATTTCGGATCAGACACAGACTTTCAGCTTCACCTATCTCACAGGGTTGTTGTGCAAATCAAAAGGGGAGAGGAGAATGATGTAAGCCTCTTTGGTCACAACGGAGAAAGACTACTTTTTCTCTTGGGGAACCATTGTTGCCAATCTCCAGGTGAGGGCTGGAGATCACTCAGAATTAAAACTGCTCTCCAGATGGCAAAGATCAGCTACACTGGGAAAAAGTCTGCAGTGCGATGTGGCTGTGAAGAAAGCGAATGCAATCTTAGGATGCATAAACAGAAGCATTGTGTCCAGATCAAGGGAGGTGGTAGTTCCGCTCTATTCTGCTATGGTCAGGCCCCACCTGGAGTACTGTGTCGTTTTGGGCACCACATTTTAGGAAGGATGTTGGCAAGCTCGAGCGTGTCCAGAAGAGGGCAACCAGGATGGTGAGAGGGTAGGAATCCAAGTCTTATGAGGAAAGGCTGAAAGAGTTGGGTATGTTTAGCCTGGGAAAGAGAAGGACATGATTGCAGTCTTCAAGTATTTGAAGGGCTGTCATGTAGAAGATGGAGCAGATCTATTCTCTCTTGCTCCGGATTGCAAGACTGGATCTAATGGGTGGAAATTACAAGGGAGTAGTTACCGGCTAAATATCAGGAGAAACTTCCTAACTGTAAGAGTGGTTGAGCAGTAGAACAGTCTGCCTCGGGAGGTGGTGGATGCTCCTTCGCTGGACATTTTCAAGCGGAGGCTGGACGACCATCTTTCGGGTATGTTGTAGGTATGGAGGGCTATCTTTCAGTATACTGCAGAGTGCAGGGGGTTGGACTAGATGACCTGCAAGGTCCCTTCCAACTCTAACATTCTATGATTCTATGAAAAGGCTACTTTGCAGGGTGGCCTCTGTGTCATTATACCCTGCTGAGGTTGCTTCCCTGCTGCTTAGGTCCCCACTGAGGAGAAGACTGTACTTTTCCTAAAAAGAGACTGCAGTTGGGGGCAGGGAGATGGAAACCTGAAATCAGAGGGGCAGATAATGGTAGGTTGATCCTTGGCTGGGAAGGAGATAGGGTTGCCAACTCGAGGTTCGTATATTCCTGGAGATTTGAGGGATGGAGCCTGGAGATGGTGGGGTTTGTGGAGGGGTGGGACCTCAGACAGGTACAATGCCATAGATTCCATCCTCCAAACCAGCCATTTTCTCCTGAAGAACCAGTTGCCAATCTCCAGGTGAGGGCTAGAGATCACTCAGAATTACAACTGCTCTCCAGATGGCAGAGATCAGTTCCCCTGGAGAAAATGGTAGGCTCTGTGACATACCCTGTTGAGGTGGCTCTTCCATGATAGCCAGTGTGACATAGCAGTTAGGGCTTCAGAGCAGGGACTGCCAGACCCAAGTTCTTCCTGTGGAAGCTGATTGGGTGATTTCAGACCACTCACAGACTTTCAGCCTAGCCAACCTCACAGGGTTGTTGTGCAAATCAAAATGAGGAGAGGAGAATGTTGTGAGCTGTTTTGGTCCCCGCTGTGGATAAAGACTGTACTTTTCCTAGGTAGAAGCTGCAGGGAGGGGGGAGATGGAAACCTGAAGTCGGGGGTTGGTTGAGGAGATAGGGTTGCCACCTCCAGTTTGGGAAATTCCTGGAGATTTGAGGGGTGAAGCCTGGAGAGGGTGGGGTTTTGTCAGCAAGCTGCCATTCTGTTTTCTGTGACCTCTGTGTACATATCCTTTCCCTGTTACACCCGGCTTGGCTTCTATCATCCTGCTCCTGCTTTGGAATGCAAAAGATAACTGCTGGAGGTTGTGTGGGGGAGAAGATGCTGTAATGCTTGCCTATTGATTTTCCCAGGACTACTGCACCTGTGTTTTGTCTGATGTTCTGCCTGGTTCCCATGTACTGGGCGCGCAACCGTTTCCTTAGCCCGCCAGCGGGAAAGATATTCATTGGATCTGTATCTGTTTGAAGTTCCTTTATTATGCTTGACCTAACTGTGTATCCCCAGTTCTAACAAAGAACGTGTTTGAGTATGTCTTCAACGCTTTGAAATAAATTTTGCTTTTCTTTAAAACGTGGATTTATTCTCGATGCTTGGGGATCCAACAGGTTTGAGGAGAAGTGGGACCTCAGACAGGTACGATACCATAGACCCTTCCTGCCAAACCAGCGATTTTCTCCTGGGGAACCATTGTGGCCAATCTCTGGGGGAGGGCTGGAGATCACTCAGAATTACAACTGCTCAGATGGCAGAGATCAGTTCCCCTGAAGAAAACGGTAAGCTCTGTGTCATTATACCCTGCTGAGGTCACCACAACAAATTGACACTGAGTGCCCAAAGCCAGGGCACCCACCCAGAGCCTCTTTCTAGTGCTTGCTGTATTTATATCCACAACAGGCCTTATTCCTAGTACCTTGAATAAACCCTTGTTGGTCTTAAAGGTGCCACTAGACTCTAAAAATTTTATACTGCTTCAGACCAACACGGTTGACCACCTGAACCTATGTTCTACTGCAGAACAAAGTCTGAGCCAAGTGGCACCTTCAAGACCAAGGAAGTTTAATTCTGGGTATACGCTTTCATGTCCATGCACACTGCTTCAGATACCAGTGCGCATGCACACGAAAGCTTATTCCCAGCATTAAACTTCGCTGGTCTTACAAAGTGCCACTGCACTCAAACTTTGTTCTGTTGCTTCAGACCAATATGGCTACCCATCGTTCTACTGCAGACCAGCATGGCTACCCTCCCAGAATAACTTTTCGGTTCGTCATTGGGGCTGCCAAGAGATATGCTGGCAGGAAACTCAGAAGCTTCTACATCAGGGATTACCTGTCTTTGATTACAGGATCACGCGGCTATTAACGTGTTTTGAAAGCCAGGACGGTACCCTATGCCCGAAGACAAACACTTTTAAAAAACACGTCGCAGCAGGCAAGCTCCAAATGCGAGGGAGAGGACACCAGCGTGGCTTTAGAGGGGGAGAGAAATTCTGTCAATCGATTGGAGGAAAGAGGGCTGTGCAAATATACTGTCCTGTGGTTGGTCGCTGTTCAGGGGAATTAAGAGGCCGGATAAATGCTCCAAGGGCCGCCTGTTCGCTGGCGCCCCTTTCGGTGGCTGCGGGCGTAGCAGGCGAATGGGGGTGGCGGCGACGGTCGGTAGCAACGGCCGTTGCCTCCGCCGTTGGTTGACGCGAGCCGCCATGGAGGCCGGCGTAGGTTCTCCTGCCGGCGAGGCTCTTCGGTGGCTGGGGACGTTTCGCTTCGACAACCGCGCCTTGCGGGCTCTGCCGCTTGACCCCTGCGAGGAAAATGTGCCTCGGGCCGTGGCGAGTGCCTGCTTCTCCCGCGTGCGGCCTACCCCCGTGCAGAACCCGCAGCTCGTCGCCTTGTCGTTGCCGGCGCTGGCACTGCTGGGGCTGAGAGAGCCGAGGACGCCGCGGGAGGAGGCCGAGCTGGAGGCCGAGGCCGCGCTCTACTTCAGCGGCAACCGGACCCTGCCGGGCTCGGAGCCTGCAGCCCACTGCTACTGCGGCCACCAGTTCGGCTCCTTCGCCGGGCAGCTGGGCGACGGCGCCGCCATGTACCTGGGTGAGGTGCTGAACCCGCGCGGCGAGCGCTGGGAGATCCAGCTCAAAGGCGCCGGACTCACCCCCTTCTCCCGGTAAAGGTCCCTCCCTTGGCTTGCCTGGCTGCAGTCCGTTGCAGGGTGATGATCTTTGGGGCTTAAGCTCTTGTCTAAACGCGTTCGGAGCTCACGGGAGAGCCAGAGCTCCTGGACATGTAGTGCGTTTCAGTCAAAGGCTTAGGCCGGGGAGGTGTGGGGGGGGGGGGGGGGGGGGAGATAATGCTTTTGCTTTGTTGGAGTCACGTTGAAATCAAGCTTCAGTCACTGTCATTAAGTCCCGGTGAAGTGAATCGCTCAGGTTTTTGAGTAAATCCTCATTTCGACGGGGACTGGTTTGCAACTGCTCAGTGCAATCCCGTGCAATTACTACATCCAGCCTTTTAAATTAAGCCTAAATCTCAGGTAGTTTAGCGGGATTTACTCTGAGTAAGTGGGTACATGGATGTAAATCTGGCTAACTTCAATGGAATTTACGCTCCAGTAGAAAGTCGCGAAGAGTCGGACTCGACTGTGCGACTGAACAACAAGAAAGTAGACCAGTTTGCAGCACCCTAGTGGAAGCCTATGCAGAACTAACCTTGTTCTTAGTCTGTTGAAATTATGTCATTTCAGTTGGTCTTAATAAAAGCGTTTGTTTGGGGGATTTTGTTTTACCTATGTAGCATTTTACATTTAGCAATCCTAAACTGGTCTACTCTGGTGTGTTTGGTAGGCTTTACTCCCAGTACAGTGTTCTTGGACTTGCACTGTTAGTCACCCTTCCCCTTTCCTGTAACCAGTGTTTATTACCTGAATTATGTCAGGAAGCACCCTTTCTGTCTCTTTCTGACCATGTGGACAAGTTATTTCCCTCACCACTCTGCAGTGGGAGGGAAGGTCAGAAGTCTTCCCACTTTTGAAAGAAAAACAACATTGTATTCCCTATCTAATGATGTTTATATATTTTCATAAATATTTCTACTAATGATACTGATTCATACACAAATGTTTTTTTAAAAAACTAACATAACTGTTCCAGCACTAATATTAGCTGATGTCAAGTTGACTGAGAAGTGTTCTGAGCAGTCCAAAGACTTCACAGACATTTATAAAGATAATCTAGTTTCAGAATGTTGTTGTCTGTTCTGCCACAGGGTAGCAGACAAAAAGAAATTGCAGCCCTTTATCTAGGTGTTTCTAAGTATTGCATTGGAAACCCTTTATTCTAGAATGGACTTTATTTATTTATTTAGATATTTATTCCCCAATTATTTAGATATTTATTCCCCACTTCCCCCCCAATGGGAACTCAAAGCAATTCAAATGATCTTTCACCCCTCCTGTTTTATCCTCAGTAATATTCCTGTGAGGTAGATTAAGATGAGTAGGAGTGACGACCGAAGTTCATTCAGTGAGCTTCCGTGGCAGAGTGCTGATTCAAATCTGGATCTTTCAGATCTTAGTCCAACATGCTAACCCTTGTACCATGCTATGAAAAGGATACATTTGTAGACTAACAGATCTGATTAGACAATTGCAGGCCAGCCTTGAGACTTGGGTCTGGTTTTGCTGGTACGACTGGTTTCACAGTCAAACATTGTGAGGTTTTACCTACCTGCTTTCCCCACATCTTTAGGTATGAGGGAGTAGCTAGCAGTTAGTGGTGTTTCATCCATAGCATATGACTGGTCTGTGGTACAATGAAATATGAGTGGAGAAATGGAAGGAGAGTCTGGTACTTAATCTTTGCAAAAATTCTGCACTGCCACCCAACTTCACAAAAGGGAGATAAAGTTATCTTGGAACTGCCGTCAAGCAGAGCACCAGCACATTTCCTGGGAGCCATCTTTGGGGATAAATTACAAAATAGACCAGAATTCAGCAAAAATGTAATGAACTCCCTAAAAAATCTGAACTGGTTAATCTGGAAAACAGTGGCATATTCTTAAAAGGTAAAGGTTCCCTTGCTTGAACTATGCTGTTATCTGGACTGCAGGGTGCTAGTTTGTGTTTCCAGTTGCAATGTTTTGTGAGAATTGTGTGCAGTGATTTAGCACGCCAGACTTCTGCAAGTCTTAAATTAGTGTCTGTGACTACATACTGAGGTTCAGAACAAAATCAGTGGATTAGACTGGAATTTACTGCTTGGGGAAGTAGTAATGGCCACAAACATAGATAGTATTAAAAAGGAGTTAGATGCTGTGACGGGGTCTGGGCACTCTAGAGGACTATGCGGCCCTGAGGAAGGACTATTCTGATTGCTGGGATAAGTTTAAACAAAAATGATTTATTTAGAATTTAATAAAGAACAAAATAGGTCTCTGGTTATTTTGAACTGTTGTGTTGATGAAAGGAACTTGTAAATATAACTGGCAAAGCTTGGTGTCACAAATAGTCTCTCAAACTCCCAAAACTCCACTCTAACAGGCATAGACACTCAATCTAATCTCTCTCTCTCTCTCTCTCTCTCTCTCTCTCTCTCTCTCTCTCTCTCATCTATATAGCCACACAGGCTGAACTCTTTGTCTTATTCACACAGAATAGACTCAAAACTCCCATAGTCACACAGACTATGCTCTCTCTTCAAACTTCACACACAGAATCTCCTTATAGACATCTCTCCTCCCACACTCTCAGTCATCAGCCAATCACATCACACTTGTCTCCCTCTATCATTACTCTTCTCATATTACTGCAGTCAAACTAAACATTTAAAGAAACACACAACCAAAACATGAAATCATTACAGATGCCTACTAGCTGTGGTGAGGTGATTGAAGGGAGCCTCCATATCCAGAGGCAGCAAACCTCTGCAAATAGCAGCACTGGGAGGCAGCAGCAGGGGAGGGCCTCTGTTTTCTAATTCCTTAGCCTTCCATGGCAACTGATTGGCTGCTATGTCAATCAGGATACTGGGCTAGGTGGATCCAGCAGACTTCTTAATCTCTGACTAATGGTACTGGTGGTGCTATAATCCCAAACCAGAGCAGCATAAACACTGTACTAGCTTGCACCTTGTTCTTGCTATGCATTCCCCTCTCCCCCGGTTTAGAACTGCTACACTGTCTCCCTTGCAGTGATGTGGGGTGGGAAATTTTCTGCCCTACATATGTAAATATAGTCTCTTTTTCTATAGTAGTCAGGGCTGTTGTGCTGCAGACCTTTTAAGTTCGGCTGAATGTGGGATATGAAGTATGGACAAAGGCCTGCACTTGCACATGGTGTATTTGCCTTCTTTTTCTAACATTATTTAAATTTGAATTGGGAAATTACCCAGAAAACTTTCCAGTTCAGATTTTCTCAGGAAAAAAACACAACACTGCTCCCACAATAGAGCCATCTTTGTAAGACTGTATTTTTCTGATCTGTCAGCCATTATAGCTTTTTCTGCCTTCATACTCATATATGCCATGCTTTTTTCCTTTCTTGCAGTTTTAACTATGAAAAGATTTCAGAATGGCCTTGTTACAGTCTATGAATTTACATTTTTGTGTAGCTCATTTACCAAGGGGATAGCTTCATGGTAGATTTCTTCATTTTAATAGGTGCAATGCAACCAGATCAAAAGAATTAGGAATAATTGCTTCTTGCTTCATTAGCGGTACAGAAGAAAATTTGAACCTGAAGTCTCTTCTTTGACTACATTTCCCTGCAGGGACTTTGTTCCTTTGTCCCCACATTTCACATTTGGTTTTTTTTAAAAAAAGTGGCTTGAGATCTTTGCTAAAATCCTGATTCTAATTTTTAAAAATTATTTTGTTAACTACAGGCAAGCTGATGGTCGTAAAGTTCTGCGATCAAGCATTAGAGAATTCCTTTGCAGCGAAGGAATGTTTCATCTAGGAATACCCACAACCCGAGCAGGAACATGTGTAACATCCGATTCAGAGGTTATTCGGGATATATTTTATGATGGAAATCCAAAAAAAGAGAAGTGCACTGTTGTCCTAAGAATCGCACCAACATTTATCAGGTAAACATACAAGTTTTTGTTTAATATTGAAAACACAGTTTTGTTTAATATTGAAAACACATAGTTACTAAATATGTTGTCAGGCAGTTGCCTGAAGGATGTATGTTTTGCCTGCAGTAACTGTAAATATATTCTGGCTCTGTAGCTCTGACTTCTCTTAATTACTATTGAAAAGATGTTACTAAAATATTTATAAAGTGCAGGCTACCAGATGGTGTGTTTCAAAATGTTTATTGTATTAGTCTAGTAAAGCTATGCACTGCCATGACCTGGATAGTCTAGACTAGCCGTATCTTGTCTCAGAAGCTAAGCAGGGTTGATCCTGGCTAGCATTTGGATGTGAGACCACCAGTACTCCCTCTAAGCTGTGGAGTCTTATGAGCAAAAATTCTACTTTGTGAGCTACTGGCATTAAAGTTGTGAGTGAGCCATTCGGCTGCTGCATACATTAGTTTGCTCTGGAGCCATCCTTCCTGAGCGAAGACAAAACTGTGTGAGCACTGGAGACCACTGAGGAATACCAGGGTTGTGATGCAGAGGCAGGCAATGGCAAACCACCTCTGATCATCTCTTGTCTTGAAAACCCTACGGGGTTTCCATAAGTCAGCTGTGACTCGGTGGCAAAAAAAGGGCTGTGCATTAGCATTATCATAGAAGGTGTTACCAAAATGCATGTTATTGTTGTTTTATTAAAAAATATAGAGAAAAACTTATAATTTAGGGGGAAATATGGCTGTTACATCTGAAAGCCTGTCACCCAGTCCCTGTGTCTCTGGGTGAGGCTTAGAATTGGAGACTCTTCCCCATTATACTCTGTTCTGTCGTCTTTATTCAGAGTGCAGATTTGAATTCCTCACAGCCATTTTAATCAGTCTCAATTCATGTAAAGTGGCTGAGAAAATTATTTTTCACCCAGCTTATGTAGATCCTTGTGTCACTTATGGGGTATCGTTGTCACCCTAGCTGCCATGAAAATTCTGGCTAGAGCCGCACTTGAGGCCTTAACCCATTGTAGTACAATTTATGGTTTTATGTCTTTAGGCTAGGGTTTAATATAAGTGTATTAATCTCATTAATTGTTTTTACTGTAATTGCCATATATTATGTTCTTCTGATACATATGTTCTTTGGCCATGTGCAATAAATCTCTCTCTCTCATTGAAATATTTTTATTGTTTGAATTATTTCCAGTAATAAACAATTTATTTTAAATAGGTTTGGATCGTTTGAAATTTTTAAGCCTCCTGATGAATACACTGGACGTAAAGGCCCGAGTGTTAACAGAAATGAAATTCGAATACAAATGCTTGATTATGTGATCAGCACGTTTTATCCAGAGATTCTGCAAGCACACCCTGACAATAATATTCAAAGGAATGCAGCTTTTTTCAGAGAGGTAGGTCAAGTGCTGTTGTGTGTGAGAGAGTGTGTGAGAAATTTGTGGGCCCTCACTATGGATGGTATAGAAGACATTTTAGTCTTGTACCAAACTTGTGAGGAGGGTTTGACTGAGAGAGTATAATTCACCCAAGGCTGCTCAGTGGGTTTTATAGCTGAGCAGGAATCAAAACGTTGTTGTTGTTGTTGTTTTTCAAAGGTGAGAATCTGTCTGGGATGTTGCCATATCACATTTTAAGATTCATTTTCAGGATCCTTGACGATATTTTCTAAACATATTTTTTCAAGTTGCTTTCTCATTATCTCATGCAGCCACTAACTATATATGAGAGATGTCCGACTTTGGTTGTAATCCCTGCCTTGTTACCTAGTCTGAAATGACTCTAAGCACACAGCTTCCTGTGGGATTTTGCTCTGACAATAACTAGCAATTTCTCTTTTTTAACTTTTTATTATGTAACTTTAAAATGTAACAAAAACACTGAGCATAAACAAGAACAGCATAACAACAATGAGTATGTATGAAACAATGTAAATAACTAACAATTTTTAAGTGTAAAATGAGTTCTCTCAATATCCAAGAACAAAATGGGTTCTTGTTCTTTCCCCCCTAATTTATTTACATTGATTACATTTCTCATGTCACTTGACCTTGTACAGTGTAGTTGATATCACTGGCGGTGGTCAGCCTTACATAGTGTTATTGACCTCTGCTATAACAACTCTCATTAAAATGGCTTGAATTGATACTAGTGTTTCCACAGGATCAAGTATTTGCTTATGCAGAACACAATTTTCCTCCTGTTGTGTGAGACCAATATGTCCCCCGAAACCGTGTTCCTGGTGATTCCCTCTCCCCCCAGAAAAGGCTATTGGGGGCATTTTGGGCTGCTGCAGGGGTGGGGGAGGCAGAAAACCCTCTTCCGCAGGTGCAAGGGTTTGCTGCCGCAGAAACACTGGTAGAGATCCAAACCAATGTGAACATGTAGAGATTGTGATGCGTATAAAAGCAAAGGCTTTTGAACTGTACCATTGAGACAACCACTGTATTGTCCAGAACCACTGGATTTTCTCTCTATGCAAGTTCTATGTGTGTAGCTAATGCTCCCTTTTCTTCTGTGTTCCTTCCATGCCCTGTGATATGCAACTTTTATTGTCTATTAAAACTTAAGAGTTAAATCAGAGGCTTAATTTAAATGCTGTTCATGATTTGTGATACTGTTACATTGTGTTTGTTATATGCCATCAAGTTGATTCCAACTGACTGTTGACCTCCAAAACATCCTATTTTTAATAGCTTTGTTCAAGTCTTGCAAACCAAAGGCCATGACTTTCTTTTGAGAGCAATCCTGAGTAGGTCTACTCAGAATTCAATTTAGGCCTAATCAGTGGTTTCCTTGCTATTTGGGGCTATCCTGGGCTATCCAAGTCAGGGTTTATAAGCCTTGATAATTGGGGGGAAGATTACAATTTGCTGTTGTTGTCTAATCTTCAGTTGCAAGCTTTAATTTATTTTTAAAATATATAGCTCCATTTATAGTTAAAGAATATTCCACTTTGCTTTTGTGAGCAATAGAAAATTAATACAGCAGAGGAGAAAATTAATACAGCAGAGAAGGTGTTCAAATGACAACCTTAAGAAACAGGTCAGGTATATATGGGAGGAGGCAGAATTCCATCAGGTAGCGATAGGTCTCAGGCTGTTAGGCATAACATAGTAATGTGATGCTTACAAAAATATCATGTTTAGGGTCTGGAAGATCTTGAACACTAACCAAGTTGTGTGTGTTCAGGTAACATTGCGGACAGCAAGGATGGTTGCAGAATGGCAGTGTGTTGGATTTTGTCATGGCGTGCTCAATACTGATAATATGAGCATAGTTGGTCTTACAATTGACTATGGACCTTTTGGATTTATGGACAGGTCAGTATGAATCATTTACTTGAAACATATAAATGTTACATTTACTGTACAAAACGACAGCAAGGTCAGTTGCCCTGTCCCCCCCCCCCCCAAATTATTTCCAGAAGTTGTTTTGGAAGGAATTTAAGACTGTGGGTATATATTTTATGATTTATAATCTCTTAAAATCCTTACAGTAGAATAAACTTGCTGGTTTGATATAATTGCTCAATAATACTTCTCTTTGTTTCAGCCTTAATGTTTTCAGGTTTGTTAGTTTTATATCCCATGTTTATATTGCCTGTGTTATGTAGGTTTTTTGTCTTTCATCTTTGGTCAGATTTAAATAAACTAGTACAGAATTATGTTTCTACTTGAATGCCACATAACATAATTCAGATCTCCTGTACTGTAGCACGGGTTTTCTGCGTAGTCATATTGATGAAATATTGTGCCAAATAGTTCTCTTTGCCTTCATAGATATGATCCTGAACACATTTGCAATGGGTCTGATAACACTGGACGTTATGCCTATAATAAGCAACCAGAAATCTGCAAATGGAATCTTGGAAAACTTGCTGAAGCTTTAGTTCCAGAACTGCCCTTGGATATCAGTATGCCCATTCTAGAAGAAGAATATAACGCAGAATTTGAGGCACATTATATGCAACTAATGAGAAGGAAGCTAGGATTCATTCAGCTCCAGCTAGAAGATGATAATAAACTCGTATCTGATCTTTTAGAAACTATGCACGTCACAGGTGATTGTGGATTATATGTGTGTGTGTGTGTCTTTAAAAGAAATGCAAGGTGATGTTCATTTGTTGGTCTATTTAAGCTAGTAATATGGATTGCAATGCTTTCCAAATAACAATTTTACAAATAGTTAAAGCAGTTTAAATCAGCAATTCCAATTTTGTTGAGCTTGTGAGCACTTTTGGAATTTTGACATCAAGGGGATCATTGTCATAAAATGGTTATCATGGGGAGTATGGCTAATCACAAAATGGCTGCCACGGTGGCTGGAGCCAGTCACAAAATGTGGGGTGGTTCTAGGTCAAGCATTTTCCTATAGTCGAGGAAGTCGCTTCCAAATGAGTATTCTTTGCGGACTCGGGGACTCTTCTGAGGCACCTGCTGCTTCAGTGAGGTGGAGGAAAGCCAGGCCTGGCTGTTTGCTTTGGGAAAGAAGCAAGGGGGCACCAGGAAAGCCATTGGTGGGCACGATGGAGGTCACTGGTGTAAATAATCTTGTGTGTGCACGTATAAAGTGCTGTCAAATTGCAGCCAAATTATGACAACCCAATAGGGTTTTCAAGGCAGGTGAGTAAGCAGAGGTGGTTTTCCACTGTCTTCCTCTGCAAAGTCTTCCTTGGTCGTCTCCCATCCAAGTATTGACTCTGCTTAGCTTCCAACATCTGACAAGATCAGCTCTACTGTTTTCACATCCCAGAAAGTCTTGTAGGACCATTTAAATTAAACGGGCTGTTTTGCACAGCTGAATTTAGTTTCCATTAATTCTTTCAGGGGCAGATTTTACAAACACTTTCCGCTTGCTGAGCTCCTTCTCAGTAAACTCTGATCCTTCATCACTGGAAAACTTCTTAGATAAGATTTCAAAGCAATGTGCTTCTATAGAAGAACTGAAAGTTGCTTACAAGCCTCAAATGGATCCCAGGTATTTTTTTTTCAAAGTAGTGATTGTACTCTGTTTCATATTCATTCCTTATATGGTGGAACAGTAAGGGAGGGGGCATCAGGGTATTTATTTGGGTAGCTGAGCCAAAAGCATGTACTGGTTTTGTTTTCTATACCTGATTGGGGGCACCAGCACCACTATTACAAGTTATTGCTGAAAACCTGTTATTGCTATCATATTTTCTAACCTAATCCATTATTTGATTTGTGTTTTCCTTCTGCTCTCTTTTTGTAGACAACTTTCAATGATGCTGATGCTAGCACAGTCTAACCCACAGCTCTTTGCCTTAATTGGAACAAAATCCAACATAAATAAAGAATTGGAACGCATTGAGCAGTTCTCTAAGCTGCAGCAGTTATCAGCAGCTGAATTGCTCAGCAGAAATAAAGGACATTGGAAAGACTGGCTGCTGAATTACAGGTGAGACAGTTACATTGAATTTAATTGAGATTTGTTAATAGAATTTTTTTAATTGATCACATGCAGTAATTACATGAAAGTCAAATCTTGTTTTACATGTGTTCAGTGTGCACAGAAACTTTGTTTCTCTTTTTTAATATTATTAAAAAATGTGCTGTTTAGATAAGTGTTATAATTTAGTCATTGAAGCAATTATTTTGTATATTCGTTTTGTGTTATACTCCAAATAAGCCCTTTGGTTTTAAATAATTGTATCAGACAAGTGAGACTTGTAATAGATGAAATTTCAACACTGGGTTTTCAGTGTCAGATCAGGATGCTATTCTAAACCATAGTCTCAGTATTCTTGGTTTTCTATATGTACATATTTTTGGTCAGGCAGCAATAATGTGAACACTATATAAAAACAGTAACTTTTCCAGTAGTCTGAACTTTCTTGTTTTTGTTTCTGTGTTCTTTCAGAGTTCGGCTAGAAAAAGAATTAGAACACACTAGTGATGCTGGTGCTTGGAGTGCTGAACGTGTGAAGGTTATGAATTTAAACAATCCAAAATACATCTTGAGAAATTACATTGCTCAAAATGCTATAGAGGCCGCAGAAAATGGTGATTTCTCAGAGGTAAATCATGATATTATGCATTGCCGAATAAAAGCCCATAGAGTCTTCAAAAGAATATAGAATGACAAAGAATATTTTTAAAAAAACACAGATTATCAAAGGTGCTGTGTTTTCCGTAAGTTTAGTGTTAAAAGAAAACAACTGCAAGATGGCAGTTCAGTGGCATCTATGACTGCTTAAAATGGCAAAATTACACAATCTGAACACTAGTAATTATTGGTACTCTAGCACAGTAGTTCTGAACCAGTGGGATGCAGAAGTAGTCTAGGTGAGATGCAGGGTTTTCATAACAATTTACTAAGAATTTGCTCTCCTTCGGTTCCCATCTGTCCACCTGAAAGTCTGATGTACCATCTTCTGCTGACCCTTCCTGCCACAGATTACCCATTTATGACGTTTGGGCATGCTAGTAGTAACCTTGGAAGTGCGGTGTTTCTCCTAATCCCCCTTTCCCCTGCCCACCAGGAAGTGTCTTTGATGTGCTGCTTTCTACTGACCCTACCTGCCAGGGATTATCCATTGTGCTTCTGCAGTTTTTCATGTCCTTAACTTAAATGATAAACATAACAGAATACCTGTAAACGTGGTAAAAGTAGGCTTATTGTCTCTGTCATAATAGGACCCTGGTTCTTTGGTGGAGTGATTGGTTGGATGTTGGGTATGAAAGGTTAAGAACCACTGTTGTAGTGATCACACTGCCTCATTTTTACACTTATAATGGCACTGCCCTAGACCAGACTTCAAAAAATCTGGACAACAGTAGCAGGAAAATGTTTTTAGTATTTACAATATTATGTTATCATGGTCTCCTGAGGGTTTTTTCTCCTGAATTACTTGTTAATGTTTCTGAAACAGTGCCAGGTGACAATGTTAAATGTAACCATAGCAACTTGAGTAGTCTTTACAAGCAAGCAAGTGATTAAAGAAGGCTAGAGAACTCTCCTGTCTCAGTTCAGCTTGCAGTTCTGCAGGAGGCTCCAGGTAACAACACAGCTGGATGTGCATTGGAAGCAGTGTTTCAGTTAAGGAATTTCAGAGGGTAGCCATGTTGGTTTGCAGTAGAACAGCTAGATACGAATCCAGTAGCACCTTCGTGACTTAACAAGCTTTTGGGGGTATGAGCTGTTGAGAGTCAAAGCTGACGAAGTTTTGAATCTCAAAAGCTCATACCCTGAAAATCTTCTTGGTCTCTTAGGTGTTATTGGACTTGCACCTAGCTGTTCGATTAAGGAGCGTTTACTCTGTAAATAAACTAGTTACTTTTTATGACACCAGGAATGATTTATTGGAAAATGTTATGAACATGTTTGTGGTGTAGTTTTATTTTGTGATCTTTGGATGTTTTCTGTTGTTGATTTACTGTTTACTTTCTTTTTATATCACATCTTTGGCTAAAGTTGTTTTTAAAAAGCACACACAGATTCAGGCTTTTGCTGTAATAATTGTGTTCTTGCTTCCCTCCTAGGTACAGAAAGTCTTGAAGCTCTTAGAAAAGCCATATGAAGACACAGAATGTTACGGTGAGGAACCTGCAGAGGAAGAAGAGGTGGCTGTTGCTGCTGCCTGCAGTTCCATGACCAGTAGCAGGCTTCCATACAGTAGTAAACCACCCCTCTGGGCTTCTGAGCTCTGTGTCACATGATCTTCATAAATGCCTTGTTAGTGTTTTCCACAAAGAGGTCTTGATCTTCCCATGTGGAGAATGCAACAAGGCATAATAGAAGTGCTATTAAGTCACAGACAGATTGTTTGGATGCCTTCACAGTCTCACCTTAACCATGTTCATGTTATGAAATGTGACAATCACCTGTTCCATGCACACTGTTAAGGCTTTGGAGACAGACCATCGTTGTGTCTTCTCTCTGTAGTGCTGTTGTATTTTCACACACGTGGATCTTTGAACATCCAAGTGAAATCTGTGTTTGTGAAGACAAAAATAGCAAACCAAATGCTGGATGTATTTTTGTCTGAAGGTGAACTAATGGTACTTACAAACTGTGTTGATAATGCTTTTATTATGCAAGAATATTTGATTCTCTCTTGATGGAGAGGGGGTTTAAGCTCATTGTTGCTTATTTTGAAGCTATGTTTCATTTAACTGAGTAGTTCATTTATTGTGAACCTTCACATTTATATTTTGTTTTTAGAAACATTGTCATGGGGCTCTGAGGAAAAGGCAGCAATAATGTGCATTGTGAAAAGGAATACAGGTGACTTAAGAAAAACAGATTTTTCACTATATCTCCAATATGTATAGCCGCTTGGTCCTGCTAAGATGCCATCCATGCAGAAGCAAGTGGGTATGCATCTCTGTTAGGATAGGGAAATACATGTGCAAACTGGTGGTGTGTTTGTGATTCAGGATTGCACCCCAGCTTCTGCAAGTAGAGTTCATTTAACCAGATGATGGAGCAGTGTGGGCCCTAGAAGATGGTCAGTACTGATTGTGCCAGTTCTTTCTAGAAAACTGCTAACCCTTTCTTCCTGACCCAACAGGCGATCCATATAGATACTATATTATACTGTGTGGTTATGAATGTCACTTTAAGCCAAACTGCCCCAACAGGATAATTTTGCCAAAAATGCATATTATTTGCTTTCCATGCAGCCTGCTTTCATACTTTTATCTTTATATACTCTATTTATTTCCTGTGTATCAACTTTACTACCTCTGTAAAGTCTTCCATTCTCAAACTGATTGCTAATGTAGGCAGTTGCTTGATCCTGTTTTAATAGCATTTGAATGTTAAAAACATTTTTGGAATGGATTGTATCTCAAAGAGAAACTTAAGTACTAACACCCAGGCTGAGTGGTCGATGGCTTTGGCTATAATCCTAAGTAGTTTCCTATTAAAAATCAATAGGACTTCAAATTGTAACTTTGAAGTTGTAACTAAATTCAGCAGTGAAGTATATGGATAGGTTATTCCAGCCATATTTTCATTAATCTGGACACCTTGATGTGGTGGATAAACCTCCTCCAAGGTTATCATTTCTGTGTTAATAAAAGTGAATACTCAAGATTTGGGAAAACTCGGCATATTGAATAAGCATGAGGATGGTGACATAGTATATAAGAGAAATCTTTACAGAGAACACAACCTCGGATTTATTCATTTCTCACTATAATTAGCAAGTCTTAATTGTGGCTTTTGAAGATCTTGTGTACAAATGTTTTGAAAAATATGCTCAGGGCAAGTGACAGGAGTGGGATTCCTGTTCCTCATAATCCAATTTAAGATAACTGTTGTCCAGATTTTCCAATATAAATGTTGTGTGCAATTTTTAACTATGACACTTTAGTACTGATGACATTGATTTTCTCATTCTGCATATAAGAGCAATATCTGGCACCTGTTCTGCTGAAAATAAATGAACTTAACCATGTTCAGAGTAAAAATATGTCTTGCTTACTTTTTGATTGAGAAAATAAATATTCTCTTTGAAGGGTGCTTTTGTATAAATATTGCTTAACTCTTAGGCTCTCCTTTTGTGAGATGAGGGTTTGCTGTTTATGACTCTGGTTGTGAAAACAGTAAGAAAATACTGCTAAGCAATCACACTTTTAAAATGTGTGAAAAGAGTGAACTTTATTGCTTGTATTTTGGAAATTATGTTGGAAATGTAAGAAACAGGTGCAATGACAGCATGCACAAAGCTTGAACATAAAATGGCTCAGGGTAAGCAACAAAGTCTGTGCATCATCCACATATGAGTGAGGAGTGATTCTAAAAGCATGGGCAATGGCAATAATAAGTGAATGAGTAAGAAAGTGTACCCTGACAACTTAGTTTTACAGTAATCTGTTGCTCAGCCTCCTGGCAAAGGAGCTCAGCTTCATGCAGCCAGCTCCTCCCTGCAGAACAGGGAAGCATTCTGTCTCAGTCAGTGGCTCCCTCTTATCCCAGTTCAAGGCCTAAGAAACTGAACTTAAAACTTAAAAATTGCCTTAGTTAAGAGCTAGTGGACCCAATGTGCAACTCATTCCAAAATTCAGACTTAAACTGAAGAAAGTGGGGAAAACCACTAGGCCATTTAGATTTGACCTAGATCAGATCCCTGATGAATATACGGTGGAGATAAAGAATAGGTTTAAGGGACTAGATTTGATAGATAGAGTGCCTGAAGAACTATGGACAGAGGTTCGTGACATTGTACAAGAGGCAGTAATCACCACCATCCTAAAGAAAAAGAAATGCAAGAAAGCAAAGTGGCTGTCTGATGAGGCTTTACAAATAGCAGACGAAAGAAGGAAAGCAAAAGGCAAAGGTGAAAAGGAAAGATTTACCCAACTGAATGCAGATTTCCAAAGAACAGCAAGGAGAGATAAGGAGGCTTTCCTGAATGAACAATGCAAAGTAATAGAGGGAAAACAATAGAATGGGAAGGACTAGAGATCTCTTCAAGAAAATTGGAGAAATCAAGGGATTGTGCCATGCAAAACTGGCCATGATAAAGGACAAAAATGGTAGGGACCTAACAGAAGCAGAAGAGATTAGGAAAAGATGGCACGAATACACAGAAGAACTATACAAGAAGGACCTCAATGTCCTTGACAACCACAACAGTGTAATCACTGACCTTGAGCCAGACATCCTGGAATCTGAAGTCAAATGGGCCTTAGAAAACATTACTAACAACAAAGCTAGTGGAAGTGATGGTATCCCAGCTGAGCTATTCAAAGTCTTAAAAGATGATGCTGTTAAAGTGCTGCACTCAATATGCCAGCAAATTTGAAAAACACAACAGTGGCCACAAGACTGGAAAAGGTCAGTATACATTCCAATCCCAAAGAAGGGCAATGCCAAGGAGTGTTCAAACTATTGTACAATTGCACTCATTTCACACGCTAGCAAGGTCATGCTAAAGATCCTACAAGCTAGGCTTCAGCAGTATGTGGACAGAAAACTGCCAGAAGTACAAGCTGGGTTTCAAAGAGGGAGATGAATTAGAGATCAAATTGCCAACATTTGCTGTTATGGAGAAAGCAAGAGTACCAGAAAATTCATTGACTACGCTAAAGCCTTTGACTGTGTGGATCACAACAAACTATGGCAAGTCCTTAAAGAGATGGGAGTACCAGACCTCCTCACATGTCTCTTGAGAAACCTGTATAAGGGTCAAGAAGCAACAGTTAGAACAGGATATGGAACAACTGGTTTCGCATAGGAAAAGGAGTACGACAAGGATCCCCTTGCTTATTTAATTTATATGCAGAGTACATCATGCGAAATGCCAGCCTAGATGATTCAGAAGCCAGAATTAAGATTGCTGGGAAAAACATTAACAACCTCAGATATGCAGACGATACCACTCTAATGGCAGAAAGTGAAGAGGACCTAAAGAGCCTCTTGCTCAGGGTAAAAAAGGAGAGCGCAAAAGTGGGCTTAAAGCTCAACATCAAAAAAACTAAGATCATGGCATCCGGCCCCATCACTCCTTGGCAAATAGAAGGGGAAGTCGTGGAAGTAGTGACAGACTTCACGTTCCTGGGATCCCAGATCACCGCAGACTGTGACAGGAGCCATGAAATTAAAAGACACCTGCTCCTTGGGAGGAAAGCGATGGCGAACCTAAACAGCATGATAAAAAGTAGAGACATCACCCGGCCAACAAAAGTTTGTATGGTCAAAGCAATGGTATTCCCAGTAGTACTGTATGGCTGCAAGAGTTGACTATAAGGAAGGCCAAGCGCGAAGAATAGATTATTTTGAATTATGGTGCTGGAGAAGACTCTTGAGAGTCCCCTGGACTACAAGAAGATCAAATCAGTCAATACTAAAATAAATCAACCCTGACTGTTCCCTGGAAGGCCAGATACTGAAGCTCAAATACTTTGGCCACCAAATAAGAAGGGAGCACTCACTGGAGAAGACCCTGATGCTGGGAAAGATTAAAGGTCAAAGAAGAAGAGGACAGCAAAGGATGAGATGTTTAGACAGTTGAGGCAACAAACATGAAATTAAGCAAACTCCGGAGCACGGCAGAAGACAGGAGGGCCTGGCATGATGTGGTCCATGGGGTCACGAAGAGTCGGACTCGACTGTGCGACGGAACAACAACAACAAAGTGGACCCTCTTCCAGGCCAAACTGAAAAGTCAAGTATGCTCTAGGGCCAACATGTACTTCGTAGAAATTACACAAAAAAATTGTCTTTTGAGTCATGAAATCCCGGAAGGAGGCTGGTGCTTTACTCTTTCACATTTCCCCGTCCTCAAAAGTTTTAATTTGGGCTTCCACCCACCATTCTCATCCACCTTCTAAGATTTCCCAAAGCCACTTTAGTACCCTAAGCAGCTTTGGGAAGAGTGGGAAGGTACAGATTTCCAAACCTCCCAGCCAACATCCAGCCTCATTTACCCTCACTGCCCCTGTAAGTTGGCTGCTTTCCGTCTGTTTTTTAAATCAATAGCCACTTTGCTATGATACCTGATAGTGACATTCCTACCACTTTTAAAAACCCACTGAATGGTGTATGAGGGGAAAATGCAAAGAAAACTACCCAAGAATGTTAACAATCTGAGCTGTTCAAATTTAATATGACAGTTACATCATGAAGTTGAGGCAGTGTGAAGCATTACTGCCAAGCATTTGTCCTATCAATGTGATTGTTTCAAGAGGATCTGATTGAGCTGAAAGCCGACTGCCAGCTAAGAAAACAGTATCCCTGGAATTTTGGAATGTTGTATATGAATCGTAGAATTGCGAAAACTTGAAATTTCTGGTTTGGTGGTCAAACTTCGGGCAATGGTTGGGTCACCAAGTCTGTATGAAAGTAGGTTCTCTTCCATGAAGCTGCTGGAAACTGATGCTGAGAGCCACCATGAGTGGTGTAAACCTGGAATCAGAATCCAAACAAGATAACCTGACCAACTTATAACCCAGTTCTCAAGGATAGTTCCGGTTGTTAAATGCCAGTATTCCTCTCTCCTTGATTAAAATTGATCAATGACTAGCACTAGGCCTGCAACTATACCCTTCTGTACAAAGCTAATCAAACTTTTGTTCTTTTGGACCTCCTGTGTATTACTACCAATAAGAAATGCACGTGGCTAGTGTAGACATGGATTTCTCATCTTCTGACCCCCTCTATTGAAAAAAAATATCGAGGCCCTGACCTAGGATGATAGTTCTGGGACTCCCAGCATTTTGACTGAGAATTTATGGTCACCATGGCCAGTGTTCCCTCTAAGCTGAGTTAGTGTGAGCTAGCTCACAGTTTTTTAGCCTCTGGCTCACACATTTTTGTCTTAGCTCAGGAAGGATGGCTCCAGAGTGAACTATTTTATGCAGGTGCCAAATGGCTCACTCACAACTTTAATCCCAGTAGCTCAAAGTAGAATTTTTGCTCATGAGACTCCACAGCTTAGCGGGAACATTGACCATGGCACACATGAGACAGTCTCAGGCTGTATTAGAGTCAATGCATGAGAGTAGTTGCAGGCTGGATTTCCTTTTTTGTACTGAACAGCTTTAGTGCTTCTGTTAGAGAAAGACTGGTGTCATAGCCAGGTCATGATCTGAGTTTAAATTCCTTCCCGAAGGACAGTGGACTGGTGAGGGTGGGCTTTCCTTGTGGACTAATGGATCCAATTGGTTTACAAAACAAGCTGGGGCATTTTGAGTCTCAGCAGGGATGCTATTGAAGCCCTACTGACATGGTAAGTAAAATTATTGCACAGTATATAAAGGGGGTTGGACCTGCTATCCACCCCTACCAAGGAGGACTCCAGCCCCTTCAATTGTTAGAAATAGAAATGAAACTGGCTGAGAAGTGGCTTCAGCATTGGTAGTGGAAAATTCAAACAGATTCTGAACATGATAAACGCCTATTACAGACCAAGAGAGAAGTAGAAACTCTGATAAAATTCCTTTCCCCTCACTGCATCCGTATCACATACACAGGTTACAGAATATGGACTGGACTGCCACCAAATCTGCATTACAAACCCAGCTATTTTGGTAAGCAAGGTTTCCAACAGGCCTAGGAAGGAGAAGTCTCAAACTATTTACAAAAGACTGAGATGCATAAACCTTGCTTATGATAGCAAGACAAAAACTTTTTTTTCTCAAACTTTTGCTAGAAATAATGTGAGCGATGTTTGTAATAAGGATGTTAATTAAGACATTTGCTTAACCAATTTTAAAGTCATGTTTTTGTTTTTATTTCTTGCTTATTTACATGAGAAGATTTCACAATGCTACAAAGAAAAAAATTACACATTAACAAATTTACATTGATGCACACATTGCTGCATTGGTGCTGGGCTGCATGCTTTCCTGCACCCATGACAAGAAAAACTTCTGCCATGCTATGGAAAAAAATGGAGCATCTTCCCACATTTCCATCCTATTTGTTATGAATCCCATTGCACCTTCAATGGAGTATTCAA